ATAACTTTGCATCATTATAAATTTATTTGCATTTGAACCAAACACAACCATCTTTTTGCAAACAAAAATAAATCAGGTACCAAACCCCCACTTCACACCCCACCGATCATCTCTTCTAGTGTTACTACTCGGTATGTGAGAACTGTTCTTTTAGGATCTTCTTGTCTACAGTGCATTATTTGTTATACTGTATATTTTTGTTATTTTGGTTTCTAGTCAAATTCAGGGAAAATTAAACGAAAAGGACATCTCCTTTTATTGATTAATCAAGTCTTAAGTTCCACCATCGGGCTATAGGGGTGTTCGTAGGTCCATTCAGTTCCATAAGATCAGTCTATTTGATCAGTTAAATTGATTTGATCGAGTTGGAGAGTTGGTCACCCAAAATCAATTAATCATTGGTGAAAACTTGGATCATATTGGTTCAAAAAATTTAAATTTTAAAAAATAAAATTTACAATACAAAATATTTTAAACTAAGAAATATGAGACATTTTCCACTTTCATATATTAAAAAATTTAATTTAAAATATAAAATATTAACATGATAACTAAACCGAAACCAACCCGACCTTTCATGTTAACATAATAACTAAATCAAAGCCCGCCGAATTTAATCAAATTATTAGAAAATCGATTTGGATTGGTCGATTTGATCAGTTTCATCGATTTGATGAACAAGCCTAATCGGCTATTTGGGTTTTTTTATGATTTTATATGAGAGATTTTCATTATCATGATTCTATTCAATTCTTTGAAAGATTGGCTTACTGCCACAAGTTGGTTACAAAATTGGCGGGGCTCTCCTCTTCAAGTTTCACATGTCATGGCCCTTTCCTTTCTGGGGCTGCATATACCAATAAAACCAAGCATACCTTCATCAGTTTCATCAGTTGCAGAAGATTTTCAAAGGCTTAAAGTAAAAAACATTTGAAACAGAAATGAATCAACTGGATTGAGTAATGGCCGGGTTAATTTGTAGAGATACACAATTAACACAACAGCTCACCACGAACCATTGTTCTTTGTTGAACACAAACAAAGATTTGCTCCTCAATTAAGGCAAATACATAGTTCCAAGTTTGGCATAAGCAACTCATCACATTCGAGAATCAGTATGTTTTTTTCAGTGGCAAGTGTTTTTGGGACATCAAATTTTAAAACATTGTTGAACCTGTAAGAGGGTATGTCATATGTGGCTTCTCAAAAGGTATCAAGATGGTTTACTCACTCAATAAGAACCCATCCATTAGGCCACTTACCAAGGCAGAAATTTTGCAACAGAAAGACTGAAAAATGGGTGGGGCTCTCCTCAGTCCTCACCATCTCTAATCACCAACAACAGCGATGCCATTGATGAACAATAGTAAATTGGCTTCAACGTACGTTCAAAAAGAAATCAAACCCCTACCACTACTCATTACCGTAAAATTAAACCTCTGCCACAACACTAAATGTAGACTATAGTTGGTGGATTGAGAATTATTGGAACCGATCGAGAGGTTTAATTGGATTGCTTTCGTGTTTCCATTAGTGTTTGAAGAGATAAGTTTTAAGTTAGAACGAAAAGAGTTACATTAGTCCTCACCATCTCTCTCTGTATTTTTTTTTTCCTTTCCTGGTAGATCGGAAAGAGTTACAATGAAAGAACGTGGGATTGTCTTCTTTCTCATGCATCGATCGCACAAACAAATATAAAGTAGGTGTTTGGCATCAATGCCATTTTCTCATATTGGAAATCAGGAAAGGTGTGATCCAAGAGAATGCCCTTTTCAATGTTTTCGTGGTGTTTTTTCTACTGTTGCTAGCAACATTATGCTGACACACCATTAAAAAATTACTATGTAACAGTAACACTAATGATACCAAATAAAAAAAAAAAATCAGAGAAAACAACATATTTATACAACACCATTTTATGAAAAAAAAAAAAAAACCCACCTCTCAGAAACAACATTGATTCCAAACACTGCCAAAGAAAACCACTTAACAGAGAGCAACATCAAATAGGGGTGTCAATGGATCGGTTTTGAGTTGGACTCCGTCCAAATTAAAATCCATTTGGATGGATTGGACGGACTAATAAGATATATTAAATTTGGATGGACTGGACGAACCAATATGACATATTGGATTGGACCTGGTCCATCCATAATGAATTTATATTGGATTGAGTCAATATCTGGTCCATTGATAAAAAATAAGAATATAGGTGTCAATGGACCTGGTTTGAGTTGAAACCAATCTAAATTAACAGAAATTTGAACAGACTGGACAGTCACTGGACCGATCCAAAATATTCATTGGACTGAATTGGACCAGGTCCATTTGTAATGGACTCACATTGGACTGGATCGGATTGGACCAAATCCAGTCCAATTGACACCCCTAACATCGAAGATCCCTACCAAGTGACCCAACTTAGTTAACCAATCAGCTGCATAGAGGCTTCCCAAAAGAAAAACGCCTCTTGCATACGGATTTCAACTTTCATGTTCATAACAGAATGCAAGTGCATGATAAGTTCTGTTTGGGTGATGATTTGGTAGGTTCTTTCAAGCGATTCAATCAACACAGCTCAATCAACAAAAGCCCTCTCAAATGGGCCTTTTATGACTTACAGAGTTCCAAAACTCGAATCGTTACAAGATCACTGACTGAGTTATGAATAAACATTTTCTTCCCACCAATACAAGGTATAGGAGTGGATACGCTTTTTTCACGAGCTATTATTCAAGCTTGGCTTAATCTAAAGTCTAAACTGAGTTTTGAGTCGAGATCGAGCCATATATATATATAATATATATAGCTTAAGCCACGTTGAGCTCGAATGTACGAGCTTTTGAATTGAATCAAATCAAGCTCAAATCGAGCTTGAGCCTCATGGTCTTTTGGTAAGTCAAACTCGAATAAATAGATGTTCAGCTTGGCTTAGCTCGAATCCACCCTTAATATGTCGATCATACATTCACATCTTTGGAGGGTTGACGGTTCAGTACTGATGGATGCATTGGGTCAGATGACTCAGACCCGGCCCATTGACAGGTCTTTGTCGGGGCAGGCACTACGATTCTCACCATGTACGCCTACATCAAGGGAGAATTACAAAGGAGCCCTCTTTAACTCAAGGTTTCTAACAATGTATTAATGGGTTGATGGTGGGTACTTTAGTTTGTGAGGCATTTGAGATAGCCTAATATCTAGGAATTTGGGTCGTCAAAGAACCTGCTAGGAGTCTCTAACAGCTCGAGCAGTTGGTGGGAACAACCATAGCCTCTGCTATTTGAACCGAGGTAGACCCGCAACAGATAAATCCTATCAATTTGGACAAGCTGAGGTGGAAGGACGAGGTGGTGCACTAAGTAGAACCTACAACCAAAGCATGGTCAGGGGTCCCTGGGGATGGCACTTTGACACTCAAGTCAGTAAGCTGTAAATAAAGGTCAGCCAGGCCGAGCTGTTAAAGGTGAGTCAATCCAAATCTAATGCTGTCCGGATTGAGGTGAACGTGCAATAGATAAATCTTACCAACTTGGACGAACCAAGGTGAAAGGACAAGGTGGTGCACCGAGTAGAGCCTACAACCAAAGCATGGTCAAAGGTCCTGAGGATGAGATCCCCAAGGAAGGCACTCTGATGCTCAAGTTAGTAAACTGTGAGTAAAGGTCAGCCAGGCCGAGCTGTTAAGGGTGAGTTGGTCCGGGCCGAGGAAGGTAGAGGAAGTAGGAGAGAAAGAAGGTTGAAGAGTGGGAAAGAGATGCACTTCCTTCCACCAAACTTATCGAATCTTATGCCAAGTTAGGTAACATAAAATCTGCTCAATTTGTCTTTGATACCTTCCCAAGACCAGATGCCAACTTGGGTAACATAGAATTTGCTTTTGCGCTTTGCAATTGGCTCGATTTAGAAAGAGTACAAATACAAATATGTACACATACAAAATACAAGGTTTTGTACTCTATGTATCTGCATTTGTACTCCTTCCAGACTCAGTTTGGGAGGAGTATAAAACTATAAATACAAATATGTATAGTGCAAGACCTTGTATACTATATTTGTAAACTTTGCATTCACTGTACATATTGGTGTTTATACTCTTCTCCAACTGAGCCTATGGTTTGCATTCTTATCATACAAAATTTGTACTTTTTTCTAAGTTTTGCATTCACTAGTAGTGTAAATTTTGTCATCCGAAAAACTGATGCAGAATTTGCACCACCTTCCTCCTATCTCAATTCTCATATAAAGTGGGGACCACATCATCCTATATCTGAATTCGGATTTTTTGAACGCATTACTATGTAGCAGGTTGTGGAATCAATGATAACACCCCACGCCCGTTATTGGTTCCACAACCTGCCAAACAGCTATCGCATTCAGCTAAATCATCAATATTTGACTGAAATCCAGAGGTAGTATAAGTAACTTACCCTTTCTAAATTTGAAATATTGGATTATACAGAATTGACATGCACCATGATTGGCCTGGTATCATGAGTAGAGCTGCAGATAGGGGTGTCAGTGGACTGGTTTTGGGTTGGACCCGTCCAAATCAAAATTGATTTGGACAGATTGGATTGGATCTGTCCAGACTTAATGGTCCAAGGTATTTATTGGATTTTATTGGACTCAGTCCATCCGTAATGGATTTATATTGGATTGGGTCAGATTGAACCAATATCCAATCCATTGCTAGAAGATAAGAATGCAGGTGTCAATAGACCAGGTTTGGGTTGGAACCAATCTAATTAAAGCCAATTTGAACAAATTGGCCGGTCCAAACATTGAATTGGACTGGTCCAAAATGATCCAGGTATTCATCAGATTGGATTGGACCTGATCCATCTGTAATGGACTCATATTGGATTGGATCAGATTGGATCAAATCCGGTCCAACTGACACCCCTAGCTGCACACCATTGAAACATTAGGAAACTTGTGGAAGACATCGTTTCAGTTCCAAATATTTATGTCATCAAAGATCAGATAATTTAGTAGGGTTTACATGCCAGTATGTCATTGTTAATCTTGTAAGTTGTAACAGAACACACATTATCATGCTCATTTTTGAATATACAGTAATATACATCCTCGGGACAGTCAAAGCAGTGGTTCTTGCGAACTCATCTCATCCCCAAACAACATCCTAAGAAGAAAAGGAAAATAAGAAACAATGGTAATGTAACGGGAAAGGAAAAGAAATTCATCAAAATTGTAATATGAGGATTGAAAAGAAGCTAAGTGGTGATGCTTTCTACCCTGTGACTATGAATGAGCTCATGTGCATGGTAGTTGCAGATGGAGGTACACCCTTAAACAGCTGTATTTAATTTCTCCATGCGTGTTTCAGGTGGAAATGGCCCTGCTCATTGGAAGAATTCGAAATTGTTCTTCTCTGTAATGTTTAGAAGGCATGTAAATTGACGATTTCCAAATATACATTCCGATTTTCATGCTGCACCCATAAATAGACTGTATTGATTCCTCAGCATGATATTATAGAGTATGTGCTTGATCTGAACTCTAAAGCATGTCTCCGACCAAACTGAGATCCAATATTTGGAAGATCATCCTCCTGAATATCTTTGAGCATGCTCAGGGTGAGTACTCATGCATAGCATGTTACCATTCTTGTTTCCTCCCAACTTTGTGATAAAGACTCTCTTTGGCTAGAAAAAACATACACAACCATTGATGCAGTTAAACGAAAGATGCCACCCTCAAGTCAGTGAACTTGTTGCTGTAGTCCACCTCCACTAGGCTACACCCAGGGGACTTGCTCAAGCCACGTTCTTTCATCAACTCCCTCAATTCATTGGCTTTTTCCCATCTTCCATCTGACGCATACAAATTAGATATGAGTACATAGTACCCTGCACCATTAGGCTGTAGCTCTAACATCCTCCTAATTGCCACCTCTCCAATATCCAACCTTGAATGGAGTCTACATCCATGGAGCAAGGCTCCAAAGACACTTACATCTGGTTGAACCGGCATCCTCTCTATAAATGCCAAGGCTTCTTCCAACTTCCCAGCACGAGATAGTAGATCAACCATACAAGCATAATGCTTCATGGAAGGAGTGAAATTATACTCCTGACACATGGAATCGAAGTACCTCCACCCTTCTCCAACCATCCCCGTGTGGCTACAAGCTGATAAAATGCTTGTGAAGATCACTTCATTGGGTTCCAAACTTTCACTCAACATCTCACTAAAAAGTGAAAGGGACTCCCTAGCATCCCCATGCATGCCATACCCAGCCACCATGGCACTCCATGTCACTGTATTCTTCAATGCCATCTCATCAAAAGCTCTGCGGGCAGATCCTGTATCCCCACATTTAGCATAAAAATTGACAAGGGAAGTTCCAACATAGACATTGGACAATAGAAGGCCTTGCTTCACTGCGTAAGCATGAATTGAACAACCAACACGCAGAGCACCTAAGCACACACAAGCAGACAGGACACTCACCACTGTAACGGCATCTGGCGAGACAATATCTCTCATCTGACGAAAAAGTGACAGTGCTTCACAATAAGACCCATTTTGGGAATAACCGCTGATCATTGAATTCCATGCAACCACGTCCTTGTCCAATATTGTCTGGAATATAGAACGTGCGCCTCCAATCATATGACATTTTGCATACATATCCACGAGGGCATTCTTTACTGTACCATCAAGTAATCCTAGTTTAATCCCAAGACTGTGAACTGGCCTACCAATATTTGAATTGCCCATCTGTGCACATGCAGAAAGAACACTTGCAATGGTAATGGAATTGGGCAAGAGATCTTCCCWTTTCTTGTCTGTAAATAGTTTCAATGCTTCATGAGGGTAGCTTCTCTGGGTATAACCAACAATCATAGCTGTCCATGAGACAAGATCGATGGTRGACAGTTCATCAAATACAGAACGAGCATCCTTGACAACCCCACACTTGGTATACATKTCTAGGAGGGTGGTTACCACAAATGAATTGAATTCTATGCCTTGCTTAATTATGTACCCATGGACCCATTTGCCTTGATGTAAGGCACCTAACTTGATGCATGCTGTGAGTAAGCCCCCCACTGTAAATTGGTTAGCTTCAATCRGTTCACGTCTCATCTGATTGAATAAAACCAACCCTTCTATTGAGAAATCATTCTGAACATATCCCATGATCATAGATGTCCAAGAGACCACATTCCTATCAGGAATTTCCTCGAACACACTACGAGAACATTCAACTTCTCCGCATTTGGCATACATGTCTATGAGACCCGTTAATACGAAACTGTCAGGATTCCCTACTTTTACAACATGGGAGTGGAGTTTCCTCCCTTCGTCTATATCATGCAGTTCAGTGCACGTCTTCAACACAATAGAGAAAACAATGTTATCCAACTCTCTTAGACATTGTCTCATACAGGTATAAAACGGGATTATTTCCGAATAACAATCATTAAGGAAGTACCATCTGATCATCACCTTCCATGAATATAGATCTGGGTTTCTTATCCTATCAAAAACCAAGCGAGCGCACTCGACATCCCCGAAGGAACCATACAAACTAACCAATTTTGTTTGGCAGAGAAGGTCACCCGCTAATCCATGGACTAGCAGCAAGCCGTGTATTTTCTTGAGAAAATTTATACTGTGGCAGAGATTCAACAGGGAAAACCAGGGATTCGAATTGATGGAATCAATAGAAGCTATTGTCCGATCGACTTCAAGAGGCTCTAGCCGCTGTTCGGGGCCAGTTTCGGTAAAAGACCCAAAACGATGAGGAGACTTCTTGAGGCAAAGCGCACGTCTGCGCAACAACGACAACGAGATCGCATTCATTTTCTTTTCCCCTTTTAATCACCTAATCCTGCGTTCCATTTTGATGATCAGAACTCGGAAGATCCACTGATCCAGAGCAGCAATAATTCCCGCCATTTCCTCCTACAGTTATTGGGTAACATAATAACAGGCTTAAATAGCCTAATGGCTGTTTTGAGTTTGAATTTCTTTCTACTCTCTAATTCTATAGCCCGTTCACAACTCGCAAGCGTTCGACAAGTGAGTGGATCTCAAAATTTTGGGTCCGGCCCACGGGACACTTGACCTATCACCAGTGTGGACTGAAGCCCCATAAGGCCCACCGGCTAGGAGTCTAGCTTGGTTTGGTATGGTATAAGGTAACACACTAGCCTGAGTTGCTGACCTAATGTCTATATTATCAATGACCATAAAGAATATCTGTTTATGCACAAATAAGAAATAGCCACCAGAAAAGGGATTTATTTTGACAAGTGGCAGCACATGAAGAAGATGCCACGTGGACAATACTTAGTTCAACTGGAACCCTTTTTTGCTGGGTGATGGGTGTAAACAGATCAAACCAAACGAGGCAATATATGAATTTGATTTAAATTAAATAGTTCAATATCCAAATTGGACGCGATATCCGACAGATATTGAAAATCAACGTTTAAATTTAAATTCAATTAAATATTTGAATATTCTATTTAATTTAAATTCGACCAATTAATTATTTTAGATAATTAATAAATATTTTATATTATATATAAATTAAATAATCAATCAAATTCTGATATTTATCAAATCATATCTAAATTTAACTTAATTACTTAAATGGTATGAATGGGATATCCAAATTCAACCAATTATAATATTTGAATTATCTGATTCGATTCAAATTCAAATTATCGAATGCTAAATTCCAAATCGAATTTTGGAATACCATCGACACCCCTCCTACTTGCATAGAATATTAGAATTAGAATATATAATGCTGACTGTTGTATGTAAAGACTAAATACCAAACAGATTGATAACATTGCCCAAACCAAAGTAGCGAAAAAGAGGAAGGCAAATGGTCAAAAGATACATGGGAGATGGATGGAGACGGTCAAGAAAGGGAAACATGGGCATCAAGTGCATTGGGTCTTCTTCTACTTGGCATGATGTAAACTGGAAAGTGGAGATTTTCTGATTAGTCCATTCGTCATCACATCAGTATCTATCCATGAACATGAACATGAACATGATGACATCTTTGTACACAACACACTCAGAAAAGAGATCGTACAGCCAAGAGCTTATCAGCCTTATCTCTGCACTCTGCTTTTTATTCTTCAACCTTCCTTTATTTTTTTATTTTTTTCGGGAAATAATGTTTTTTTTTTCCGTGTTCTTTCAGGATCGTTTGGTGACGGGGGCAAGACTATTCTGAGCTTAGGTTAGTCCAGTGAGGAGTAACTTGCTGTTTAGCTTTTGACTCCTTCAAAGTTAGAAACCAATTAATTGTCTTGTGTGATTGTGATGGGATCAGAGTCCTGTGTGGAAGATAAACATCCACCAAACCCAATTGTCCAATTAATGAATTCTGTATTAAGTTGGCATCTTAACAACTGCAGATTAACTATATTACATTTCTTGTTCAATTGGATCACCCAAAATATCTTGATTCTTAGAATACGATGGGCTATGAGAAAGGGATTCAGCCGACATAATAGACAAAGAACAAGCTGAATGAACAAGACCTTAACTTAGCATCATCCCCAGATTATTGGGGGAGAGCAACACCCTGTGTGAAGTAGCCATCCCTCTTTTTGTAACCCAAAAAAAATAGATTTCAAGTCTTCTCAATCTCTACATTTTACTCAAAGCCTCTCAAATTATTGACTTAAGCGCCATTACCTTGAGCTAAAACCAGAAGAGATTAGAATAAGTTTGACTCCCAGGGTGCTCCATAAAGACAGTAATGATCCTAAACGTTAACACCCAATACCCAAACCAACGAGATTGAGAATGCTGTATATCTCAGAAGCAATGCAACATTATTTATGAATTATACAAAGTTGGTAAACCTCAAACACAGAAAATCAAAGGCACCCGAATTTCAGGTTAAGACATGTACAAAGGCAATTCCTGGAACTCACAATTCACTCACTCCTAAGCCATTGAAACAACTTCTGTTTCCTCAATACCCTCCCTTCCCCATGACATTTTCAAATCATTATACAGTGCCTCTCTATACTAAGGCAACAGGAAGAGGAGGAAGGTTACCAGCTGGACATCTCTGGCGCCGGGGCCGTCTAGTTGTCTTTCCCCATCCTGTTAGGCTTCTGTCCTCTAGTCCGAGTTCACTATTACTGGGTTGTTGCTCTGGCGGAGAGCAGGGTATGCTTGCTGCCATGGTTGGAGTAGGGCCCCTTGACCGCCTCCTTCCCCTTGGCCATCCACCTCTACCAGCATTCCTCTTTGCCAGCCCCGTCTCCCAGGGACAGCCTGTAGCTTTCATCAGCCCTCCAATAGTCTGAAGGTCTTCAGTGACCTCATGTCTTGACAAAGAAGCAAGACCTGGTAGGATATCCCTTTGAAAGTCCCTCCGCTGCCTTCCCCTTCTTCCTTGGCCCTTCCTAGGCCGACTTAGCAATGAAGTGGCAGAACCTGTTTCTTCCACTTTTAGAATCTCTGGTGGCTTACACCAGCGTTCTTCCACCTTGAGCTCCGTCAATTGTAATGTCATGGTTTCAAAGTAATCACTCTCATCTGAGGAAGATGACTCCTGGTTAGACCTATCCTTAGACCTCAAGGCTAAGTCAACCTCATTCTGGAGATCATCCATGTTAGAAGAAACTATATCTGCAAACCAGTGGAGTGTCTCCATCATTGAAGTTCCTGATGGATGACAATTGTCATTCTCTAAATGCTTATTAACGCTGGATGATGAGATGGCAACTAAAACTTCTGCAGCAGTCCTGATAAGCTCCCCATGTGGGTCTCCATCCTCATGTTCTGATGATTGAACAGGTTTCTCAAGTTGGTTTTCCAGAAACTCGTCCCCAGTAGGAATACCTTCCTCAGTTTCAGGAACTGCCGGAACCTCTAAATCTATCCCAGTTGTATTTTTCTTCGCTTCACTTTGGAAATAGACTACTGATGAACTGTCATCCTCATCTGCACATGAGTTCAAATTAATGTGATTTCTAGAAGCAGCCAGGGTGTTATTAGATCCCTTCTCTACCATCAGATTCTGTGTGGCAAAATGATCCCCTAAATTAGGCAATATAGGATCACAAGACAAGTCAATATGAAGTACCGTTGCTTTTCCATTATTCTCAACGTCTTCAACTCTAGATGGGTAATGGTTAATCCTGGCAGGGGACAACTGAAAAGAAGAATGGTTGTTGGAAGCACATGGCTTTTCAAAAATGGGAACACCAAGTATCTTTTTATCACCGAGTCTGTCAGCCACCTTAACACTCTTAGGCTCAGTATCATGTACATAATGCAGACTGGGACCATTTCCTGCTTCAACTTTGTCAGAAAAGTGTTGATGATTGACTTGTAAGAAATCCAATCCCATTCTCTCTGAATTTCCCCTTGCTTTGGGGGTCATGTCATTGCAAGCTGGTTTTCCTCTAAGCCAAGGCAAGACAGCTGAAGGATCTTCATGCTTCCTTTCTCCATCTATAATCACAAGATCTCGCTGGGGAACCACTGTATCGTTGAAGCCACTTGGAAGCACCATATTCAAATTCCTATCCTTTGCAGTCTTAACATCAACGAAGTCTGAACCCTTGTAACGCTTCACAGAACCATGGTCTTCAAAGTTTTCAGAAGTTAATGCCTTCTCATTACTGCAGTTCAGATAATCAAAGCCAACTGAAGGGGAACAAACCTGTAATGGCTTGGACTCCAACTGGGATCCATGGCAAAAGCCATTTCTTTTATGGGATATCTCACTTCCAAAATTTGGGTTCAATCTCAAATTGCCATTAAGATGCCATTTGTCTTCAATAACCCCAGAGCCTTCAAGTGACGATTTGGAATTGTTACTCAAAGGAGCAAATGGGTTGACACATGGGAGTGCTTCAACTGCTATCGGATTCTTCTGACTCAAGCTACACATTGGTCTTCTCCAAGATGAAGCTGAAGGTACTCCAAAATTGGCCATATCAGACTGAGAAACAACTGGATATGGATTGTTAAAATTGGGTAGATTTTGATCTTTATCAGAGATTCCTAAACTACAAATTGCTTTTTCTCTCCATGGTTCTTTCTTATCGTGATCCGATATAAGAAACCGTGGAAATTCATGAGCTTTCTTAAGCTCAACTTGAATTGGTGCGGATGATGCCAGTAAATTTTCTGAATGGACACCTTGAGGTAAAGGCTTCAGGTTGCTATTACTTTGCCCTGTAAAAGGAAACAGCCACAATTCCACATAATAAATCAGTTATAAAAGAACAATCCAAATCAACAAGAAGCTGAAGACAACTTGTTACTAAGTACATATTGTGGAATTTCACAAAATAGAGCGTTGAGGTGCAAATAAGAGTGTATCACCATCTGTCAACAAATCAATACATTTGGTACTCAAGACATTCACTTAATCTTCCAGGTTTTCTAGACAAATCAAGATTGTTTTCCTATATCAAATACTTACTTTTCTTTAGACAAGGGGAACATGGTGTAGATAACGATTACCATATGTCTATATCACAGAACAAATAAGAACAATGAAAAAGAGAGATACAAAGGCCTTAGATTTTAACAGGTTAGCCCATTATAATGGTTCCTAATGCAATTTAGCCATCCCAACCCCATCTCTAATTATAATCCATCTGCCATAAAGTTTACAGATCTAGGAACCCAATAAAACAAGCACACTGAACCCAGCAGTCAATGATCTAATTACATGCCAAAGTGCCCAAGGGCCTTATGTCTTGTGAATTTATCCACCCAACTACTACCTAGGAATCCCTGTTCCTCTACCACTTCGGTAACCATTGTCATTTTCTTCTAGATGCTCCCTTCCAATAAACAAAATTTGGATGAAAAGTCAGATTTCGGCACCTTTTGGGATAATAAAAACACAACTCAAAATGGACTTCAAACCTTTCAATTCTATTAAACTTATTGGCTTCCCTTCCCCCCTCTTGCAGCCAAAACATGCACATACATAAATGGACTTCAAACCAACTTAAACTGAGAATTAATTCCATCGTTCTTGAACTTTTGCTCCTAAGACCAAACAAGGGAATCAGGATATTTGCAGAATAACTGCTAAAATTGATTGTGTATGAAGTATTTTTTCTGAAAAAGGAGATAAACATAAATAAAAGACAAAAGTGATCTGAAATTTAGGCAATTATATGAAGTGCCCTTACCAGCTTCAAGGTTGTAAGATAGCCATTCCCGTTTTCTTCCCTCATTTTCTTGATTTTGAATGTTTGAAGAAGTTTCATTGCTCCTTCCCTTCTGTGTATCTTTGAAAAAATCCCTAGGTGAACCTTTCAAGCCTGAATTTGGCACAGTGGGCAAATTCTGACCTTTAATCTCCTTGTGGCAGTTGACAGGGTGCAGAAAATCAACAGGAGCTGAATCTGTTACTTCCTCAACCTGGATGGGTTCATTCAAATCTGCCAAACCATGGTGTTTGCTTCGTAAGCTTGATTCAGATCTTGAAGACTCCCCTTGACTACTATGGTTCCTACTGCTTCCAAGAGACAGATTTACATCACGGTCAGGTGCAATGCCAGAGTTTCTCTGAGTATAATTTGCCACCACAGAAATTTCAGAAACCTTTTCTTCTTCCAGTGTCTCTCCTTCACTGTCAATGTATTCATCAGCTGGAAGTTGAAGGTCAAACACCTTTCTTGGAAATTTCTTGGATTTAGACTCCAACAACTTGCAATCTTTTGAACTATCCCCATTTTGGGTTGGAGCAAGATCAACTTGCATGTTGTTGTCTTTACAAAAACTAAAAGGCGGTTGCATTTTGTCAGTACCAGACACTGATGCTCTACTACAGGCAGAATTCACCAAAGGCAAGCTGGAGATGTGCCACATCTTCTGAGAATCTTCAGATGACATTTGAGATGAAAAGAGACATGACTGTGTGGTCTCCGCTGGTAATATATACTTATGCAATGTTTTCATTTTAAGTTCATCCATCAAGTCTCTTTGTATTCTATAAAGACGATGAAGTTCATGGACCTGAATAGTACAATTCACATTTGAATAGATTTAACTATTAAATTGAGTACTCAAGAAAACTGATACTTTCAACTCAGATAGTAATAGCTGATGCCAAATGAAGGGTCTTTTCATTTTAAAACCAAGAAAAGCTATACCACTTACTCAAGGAACTCTATTCATTAAAACATAAGTTGCATATTCTAACAGGTACCCAAGAAATTTTGAAATATCATGTTACATCACACATCTAGAATGTAAGAGGTGACCAGATTTCCTAGTCCAGAGCATACCTGCTTCCTGAATATAGATTCATGCATAAGCATTGTCTGCTTTAGTACTTCCTTGTCATAGCCCAAATATCCATCTGTAGTAGGTCTTGGCAAGAAACTATTGTAGTGCTGCCCACTTCTCAAATTTTTATCCTCATAATATAGGGGCCAGCTACCACTGTTAGCATCCTCGTTAAGATCCCTCATGGAGTAATATCCTGGCAAGTAGCTTTTACACTGTACTTTTGTTCCCATACCTGCCACATACTCAAAAAAAAAATGACTTAGAAAATGAATGAAACAATTAACCATAGAACTAAAAGTTACAGAACTACATTTTCAGCTTTATTAAGAAAATAACAGAGGAACTGAATTGAATGACAACAGATGGTTTGCCTTTCACAATGTAAAGAAGAGAGAGCGACAGAACACACTACAGAAAAATCTTTGTCTAATATGCAAATGCAGAAGGTATAGCAACATTAAGGGGAAAATGATGAAGACAAACCAGTATAACAGCAGTCCAATTTTGTGGACATGAAAATCCACAAAATTTATGCATGAATAACAACAACAACAACAACAATATAAGATAACATTACATGGCTTTCTAAGTTGTCTAAAATAAAAGATTTGGCTCCATTTTGGAACCCTTTATAACAAATGGTTCTTTTTTTTTTTTGACAAGTCATTTATAATAAATGGTTCTCAATACAGCCAAGTAGGTATAGATGTATTTCAGTTGCAAAATTATTTTTGACCAGATGAATTTTATTAATTTTCAATGTAGTGTTGACTAGTTAGTTATCAAAAAAATGTAGCATTTTGAATGACCACAGACACAGCATGTTATGTCGTATTTTCCTAATTCTTCTTGCTCTAGATGAACTAAGCATGTTTCATGCCTCCCAAATTTCCTATATTGTACTCTTTTATTGGAATTATTGAATCCTAAATTTGTTTCCTTTTTTTACTTCATTTTGTTTGCCTACCAATAATAAGCAAGGAAAAGTTCAATATCAGGCTACAACCTTCTTCATTGGACATAAAACAATATCAAAATCAACAGTTCTTGAACACCTTAAAGGCCCACAAAAACGGCATATATTATAAGAAAGATTACGCTATTCCACTTCTAGTTATTGCAGTCCTATGTGATATCCAAATCATCTATACTTTAAAATGAAATCTAGAATTCTAGAGTTTGAACCTGAGTCACCATATTTTAAAGTGGAGCAGCTGTGTGGAGCTATGATACCTAGATAATTATACATGCTTAGTGTACTGGTATCAAATATGATATATATATATATATCGGATACAACGCCTGATACTCTATGATCACTTTTAAATATATTCTATAGAATTAAGACTTTTAAAAATATGAAGGATGATATTTTCTAACAAATCATACTATAAAAAATATGTATCATTTTGGAAATTTAATTAAATTTGCCAAGACATAAACCTTGAAAAATCACACTTAGGCTCAGTTTGGAAGGAGTACAAATACAAATATGTAGACTGCAAAACCTTATATTTTGTATTATTCTGTATGTATTTATACCATACATATTTGTATTTGTACTCTTTCCAAATTGATCCTTAGGTTGTGTTTGGTTGAAATGCAAATAAATTTGCACTGATGCAAAACCATGGCAGTGCAAATGATTTGAGTGTAAATTCTGACCTATTTTTGTTTCAAATTTTAGCTTATTTTGTTTGATTGCAGTACAAATGAAGTAAATTAAGACATAAAGCAGAATAAAGTAAAACCCAAAACAAAATTAAACAAATTGCATTTTTTACATTTGCACTCCCATGCATTTGTACTAGTGCAAATAAATTTGCACTGCAACCAAACACAGCCTTATCTTCAAAAAAACTAATATCATATCCTACTAACAATAGCATAAGATGTCACAGGCTCACGGCTGTTAAAAATACCCAAAATTCTCATTTTGGACAAGATCAAAACACTGAGCTAAGATGAAGTTCCATGTTTCCTCATAGAATATTTCTAGGTGACAGAAACTTTTAGATTTCCTTATGCATCTTCTATATCTGATGATGCATTGACAGAATATGGAAATTCTTTAATAGAAATTAACGAATTTGGACATGCCCCTAAGACCATCTTTTTTTCCATTTTGTTGAGTCTAACTTCAAGGTCCTACTACATGTTGGATTCTGGCTATTGTGTCCACTACCATTCAACACTGATTTAATCATGGTGAATTTCATCCCTACACAGGTGGTCTAGTAGAGAGTTTTGTAGATAGGCAAGAATTGAAGTGCTTACGGCCAGCCTAAAGGCCCAAACCATGAAATACAAGCCAATACATAGAATAAGGTGAACTTCAACTGTAATGGCTACTCTGCCCATGGAGAACATGGTTAAAGAAAATTTATCTGTTGTACTGCTCTGTGGATTGTTAAAGTAAGCACAAACTTAGTGTTTGATTAGTATAATTCATTTGACTAAAGTTCATGCATTGCCACCATGAAGCCACAATACTAGAAAAAGAACCAGTAGTAAACTCGTTAAACTAGTCCAACACTTTGAGAATAACACGAAAGGATTTCCTGATGAAAAAATAAAAGAAGCCACAAGAGCATTTCTATTGTGGATAGCAAGTGAGAATTAGGGCCACGAAGTAATCAATCAAAACCAGTCGCTCAAAAACCAAATGAAGCATTAATGATTAATGAGAAAGCAAAAACGAAAGGCAATTTCTTCAATCTCCCATGCCGATCATATACATAAAAAGGAAGTCAAAGAACTACTTTAATAGTAAAAGCAGTAAGGAATAATAAAAATTAAAAAAACCCATTCTCAACAGTGACCAGAAATTTCGAATAGGAACTCTGTTTAAGAATGTTCTCAGATATTTTAAATCTCAAAATAGCTCCAGATAAAAGAGAAGGAGGAGGCTCACATCGATGAAAGCATATTAAGCATCACAAACAAGATGACGATATGCTATAACCTCATAAATCGTTTCATCAGAAAGGGGAAAGTTGTAATCATTTTACTTCTTAATTTCAAGAAGGAAAACCCAGATTGGGAAAAAAAAAAGGAAATAGCGAAAAACACATTCCCCGTGAACAATAAAAGAATGCAAATCCAAACAAAAGAACCCAGTCTAAGCCAAAACACTCAAATCATCCATCAAAATTCATCAAAGGAAAATGGGAAAAAAAAAAACAATAGCAATAGCAATAAACAGGAGTACTAAAAAAAATACATAGGCCGAATTACCCAAATCAACCGAAGAACTTTTAATTTTTTGACCCAGAAACAGGAACTTTAAAATAAACGATTTTGATCAGCCGACAAATACAAAACCCACCACAAAAGTCTCGACTTAGAACTAGAAGGGATTTTTTTTTTTTTTGAAGAACAAATATACCTCAGACCAACATCCTCTATCAGCCCTCTTCAAAAATCCGCCACAGATTCAGCAAAATCTCGATTACCCGACAACCTGGCAGATACCAAAATCGCTGCATGAAAATTGACAGCCTTGGACTCGCACTCCCGACATAAACGACGCAAAACATGAACCGGAGAAACCAGAAGAATCCCCTGAACCAGAACGCAAAGCAGAGGACCCCAACGGGTGAAGGGAACGAAGTGGGTATGTCTGTAACGCCATTGAAGGAGCTTAGATCGTCATCAGGTCGACGAAAAGATGGAGATTTCGATCTGCTGGGGCCAGTCCCTGAAAGAAGAAGGGGATAGAGAGAGAGAGATCCCAGATAAGAAATCTTCACACGAACAAACGACCTTCCAAGAACAGTGACAAGAAATTTGTCAACATCCGGTCTCTTTTTATTCTCTACTTTTTCTTCCCTTCTTCTTTCTGATTTCTTAATTAATATATATATTTGTTTATTTATTTCTGGGTTTTTGAGGAAGTGAAAGAAGAAATGGGCATTTCTAGATTCTCTCCACCTTCCTTGCTTTTGGGTACAAAACTTAAAAACTCAAAAAAACAAAAATAAAAATCTAGACACACTTGCTTTACTGCAACAGCAAACTCAAACATCAACCATCTCTAAAAACAGTAATCTTTTTTACATTAATTAATCATATTACCGCTTTGGAATTCCTTGTAAAGTATTTTTCGGAGCCTATCTTACGAAATTCTTTACAAGATTGGCTGCAACTTAAAACCAGTAGACAGTAGTGGGGACCCTTTTTACTGTGGAAAGATGGGATTTCTTGAGGTTTTAGTTTAACTTCATTAGCACCCTTACTTCTTAGCATATTTACGGGAAAAAGGACTTACTTTGGAGCTTTTTGTTTGTCTTGTTGCTTTATTTGGTTGTCTATCGCCCTACAATCCCCACAAATTCCCTTTGCAACAGGGATTAGTTTAAAGTTTTATCCAGATTGATTAGGATTAAGACAAAGCCTCTCTTCTTTGATCTGCTAATCAATTATCTAATGAAATAGATCACCTAACATTACCATTAAGATCTCATAAATTAATAAGATATTTTCAAGTGCAACAAAGTGGGTTTGGGGTTTTATCTCTCTGCTGAGCATGCAACACAGTAAAGTTGAGACAACTGGGTGATCAAGAGAGTTTAGTAATTAGTGGTACTCCCTCAATTCCCTCCCTCTGTCACCATCACTCAAATGTTGAAGCCCTCCAGGTGTTTGAAAAGACTTCGCCAACCAGATCCCAATGGCCCATGGTTTAGTTTTAGTCAAGACTCCAGATTGGACCTCTGCCTGTGGTTACCAGAGTCCCATAGACTTCATCTCTCTCTCTCTCCCCTTTGGTTAAAAATTGGGTTTACATCCATGATGATGCCCATTGTAATTTAAACATCCAAATCTGTTAAAAGTCCCTAATAGGAGTAATGGCTTCTATTTTCTTGATGTGGTCCATATTCAAAATTCATGCACTTCAGATTCTGCACACAATTTGTTTAAAAATAGGAGTAATATATCGTTCTTTATAGCTAAGTATGTTCATTTTAGAAAGAAATGTTTCTGATGTGCGGTCCCCTAAAATCACTACTTCTACTTCCAAGTTCCAACCTCTTTAATCAATACTTGTATATTATAATTTCTCGCCTCATCTCTCTCAGTTTTATAATAAAAAAAAAAAAAAACAGGGGTTCTTTAGGGTTCAATGATGTTTTTTTACCTTGTAACGTTGGATTGGAATCTAGTCAAGCAAACCGAACATCATGACTTTCACAAAACTTGCCAGGTGGAAAGTGTTGAACTCCACAGTTGGGTACGTGGACAGAGTGGATAAAGCTGAGGTGTTTTTTTTTGGGGGGGGGGGTCGTAAGGGTCTTTTTGTAAATTCAAATAATACAAGAGAGCACTCAGATCGTCCGTACTACCTTCACACGTCGAAGCCTTGCGGCGGAAATTCCTCCTGCGTACCCCCCACCCCCAACCCACCCTTCGCGTCTCTCACACACTCTCTCTCCAATCCCGATGTCGATCTGCGTCCATGAATCTTGGGCTTCTAAACGACTTTGGCTCCTCTACAAAGGGATCTCGTTTTGCTTAAAATAACTAATTTGCCATTGTAAGTACTACAATGACAGGATTGCCCTCAGTCACTTTCATTGTCTGTCACGTCTTCCAAAGATCCGCCCTCCCTTCCCTAACTCGGAGAAAAAGTTAAAATAATAAAAAAAAAACAAAAACGAATTTAAGTACGTATTTACTAGACGGCCACCTAGAAAAGCTATAATGTCCGGTTGTGTATAGATCGTGTATATGGAACAACACAAACCTCAAACAACGTGGCATTTTCGAACAGAAAGGCCCTGATACAGTGACACGTGGTAAAGAAATAATTCTTTTCAAGTGATCTTTATGTTTCTTTTTGCCTGTTGTGGCTTGTAGGTGCCAACACGATGATTGTAGACTTGTAGTGACACGAGGTATGGACCGCAGGACAACAGGTGAAATTGCTGAAGTAAATCATATTAATTTGTTTTTTAAACTCGTTTAAATAAAAAAACATATCAATTAGTTTTTATAGAGATGAATATTGGGCCATGATATGTCATTACGGCACGACTTTGCAGGCTGCCCATGCTTTGCTGGGCTATGCCGGGCTGTGCTGGTTTCCTTTGGGATACTTCAAAGATCGGGTTCGGTATGGCCTATGGCACAAGCCTAAGTAGGATCGGGCCGGTCGTGCTGTGTTGGGTTAGGCTGCAAGCCGAGCCATGGGCTAGGCCATGAGCGGCATATTTTTTAAAAAATTTTAAAAAAAATGAAATTTTTAAAATAAATTAATAAAATAAACAAAAAATTGAAAAAAATCTTAAAATGAAATTTGATGTATACAATTGTTTATACATGAAATAATAAAATGAAATTAAAAAATTACAATACAATTAGAACAAAATAGTTAATAGTATAATAAAATTGAAAATAAAAATTCATACATATATATATATATATATTATAATTAATATTTAATATACATATATATATAAATATGCATATAATTATATATAGAGATAGAGAGAATAATATAAATATATATATAATTATATATGGGTTGTGTCAGACCGTGCTATTGGTGTCGAGCCATGCTGCAATTTGTGCCAACACGACCCGCCTTGTTGTGTCATGTTGTGCTAACCCACAAACCTAAAAATCCAAGCCTAGCATGACCCGCATGCTATAATGATGAGCCGGGCCTAACACGGCCCGATTTACAACTCTAGTTTTTTAGGAGGTATTCGCTAATATATAAACTTTTATTTTCTAAAACAAAAGGCAATTGCCACATGAGCAAAAATATATTTTCTTTATTCACATGGCAATTGTTTTTATTTTAGAAAACCAAACCATTTTACCATTCTTGGTTAAATTAATTTTAATCATGTCTTAAATTAATCAATAAATTGGTGATTATTAGATTATGACCAAGGTTTGGCTGAGCGCAATGGTTGTTCAGCAGGTTGTGGAATCAATGATGAGGTTCCACACCAGTAATAAATTTCATTGGCCCACTGTAAGAGGTGTGGACCCATGTATTTAAATACTAGTATGGAATCTAATCATTGATTCCACAGCTTACTGAACAGCTATCATGTTCAACTAATTCGAATTACTAGATTATAGGATGTATGATGTAAATATTGGTGATTAGAAGATTTACCATCTAATGGTGGCTAGTTGGTAGGATCTCATACTTGTAGCGAAGACTTACCATTAAGGCCTAGTTCATTTGCAGGTAAATATGTATGGGAAAGTTGGTTAATGGGTAACATTTTCCCATTGACCAACTTTCCTATGTTCTTTTTGCATTAAGTAATGGGTCCCATAGTAAAGTTACCCTTACTTTCTTGGGTAAAACTCACATCTCCTAGGTGGGTAAATGAATTTCCTAGTGAGGAGAAATTTTTATAAAACATGATGAGACTATTTTACCCATTTTAATAGTTACTTTTGTGGGTAAAAATATCATTTTATTATTTTACCTAGGAATCTTGAAAATCAAAAGAACATGGGTAAGTGCACTTATTCAAGTAAACTGCACTATTACAAACAAACAAGGCCTAAATCATGCCTGATGGGGGATAGGCTATTCCCACTGTGTATAGGGATGAGCAAATGAGTTGGGATCTCCTTCCAATAAAATGTGTTCTCCAACACCCTACTAACATCATCCAACAACATACATCTCATACATGATGGGTCCCAGTTTTATAGTTAATTATAGTCTCATGATAAAATGTGTGGTGCCAGATGATGTTGGTATGTTGTTGGAACATGCTTTGTTGGCAAGAGATCCTTATTCTACGGAAATGGGTAGATTCTACCCAAAATTGAATGGAAGTAACCTCAAATCAGCCTTGATTCCCTTGAATCAACCCTACCCAATCTATTAGTGGGTAGGGTCCAATCCCAAATTCTTGGAACTGACCCCACGTAGGCTGGTTCTAGTGACTTGAAGAATCTACTTTGGTTGGCCTTAATTGACCTCAGTGCAACCAAGCTTGCCTTGAAGTAAATCTCAAAATGCTTTAAGGATGTGAAAATTTGAACCAAACATGATTACAAGACTAGTCTCACTTGGTTGAGTGAATTAAGTGATTTAATCATTTTTCTTCAATTTAATATGTATATAATAAATAATCTAAAATGGAATATTTACAAAATTTACAAAAAACTTGAAACCAATCCTTACAAGTTAGATTCTAAGTTCTACATTGGAGTCGAATTAAACCGGCTCATGCTCACCCTTAGTTGTATAGCACCATGGTTTTCAAAATCATATTGGATTGGACGGTCAAACCGGAAAAATCGGGAACCGGTCAGGTGATCGGTTTCGGTTTTCCCCAAAACCAGAATTTCTTAAAAAACCGTTGATTTTGGTCAGCAACCGCTGACCCGAGCGGTTAACTGTTCGAACTGTTTTTACCATTTTTTATTCTTTTTATTTTTATATTTTTTTGTCAGAACGGGCCGACCGTTCAATTCGAAAAATTGGACTGTTTGACCCGGTAATAGAACTCCTGACTGGTTCGGTCTCTGGGTCGGTTTTAAAAACCATGTATATCACAATTAAACTCAAAAAGTTGGAAGTCACGTTTTTGTATAATAGGCCCCTTTTAAAAAAAAAAAAAAGATTAGATTTATATGATAACTAAATTGGTTGTGAATCACATCATGCAACATCCCCTTAATAATTCCGTATGTGATGTTTTTATCTTTTCTTTTATATTCAGAAAAACAAAATTTAAGAAAAAAAATGAAAGAAAATTTTAAAAAGCTGCGATGTGGACAATTCTATAAATACATATATATATATGCATGTACGGACTAAGATAAAAATCTGGTG